AAATTACAAAAAAAACAAAAGCAACACAATACGCACATATTATTTTATACATCAACTATACTTATCTATAACTATACTTATCGGGCTAAATCACCTTATAAAAGTTTTAAAATAACTTTTCTTTAAGCTGCAAGTGACAAGCAAAAGATGTCAGCATTAGAGAACTTAGCATCATACAACCTACAAGATCTACGGACAAAAGAGTTAGAAGCATATTTCGTTCGAGCCGTGGACATGTGGAAGGTCTGTTTAGAACGCGCGGAAATACGACTACAGTATTCGACGAAAAGTTTAATAATAAAAAAAAAAAAAAAAAACATTAATGTATCTTCAAATTGTTTGTAATTAAGTATTTTTGTGTGGAATAAAGAAAGCTTTATTATTATTATTATTATTCGACGAGAAACTCAGTTTGCTGTGTCTATAGAACGAACGAATGATGTAGATAATTTAGCCTCTCTGCGTTTCTAAGCCATTCATACGATTGTTTTTTTTTTTTTTGTTACTTAGATGGATTTACGAGCTCACAGCCCACCTGGTGTTTTTATTTTTTATTTATTTTTTATTGCTTAGATGGGTGGACGAGCTCGCAGCCCACCTGGTGTTAAGTGGTTACTGGAGCCCATAGACATGTACAACGTAAATGCGCCACCCACCTTGAGATGTAAGTTCTAAGGTCTCAGTATAGTTACAACGGCTGCCCCACCCTTCAAACCGAAACGCATTACTGCTACACGGCAGAAACAGGTAGGACGGTGGTGCCTATCCGTGCGGACTCACAAGAGGTCCTGCCACCAATAGATTGTAACGATATACGGTACAGATGTTGTAAATACTTCAGAACGGGCTATAGTACTATCAATGTACAACAGGTGACGCGCGGGCGTATTCTACATTTTGCTGAAATCACAGTGTTAACCCCGCTAATTATCATTAACAATTATAATAGTATTGCGAAATCTTCATTCGTAAAATTTTATTTGCGCGACATGTGCGCCTGGCGTATGGCTCATTTTAATTCTTAGTTAAATTTAATTTTATTCAAAGTTATTGTACGGATTACGACACGCTCATAATTGTACATACGCTCTTATTTGTATCTCTATTATCGTTTCTTTAATTTGTACAGAACTAGGCTTTACATGTTATTAATACTATTTCGTGTAACTAAACAAAGGTTTTAAATTAAATTTATTAGTATAAAGTTTGTTGATATGTTTTTAACATGTTTCATTATCTCGGTATGTATGTATGCATGTTTGTTACGGAATATTTGAAAGTCATTTTCGCTCAATTTAAGACATCAGGGTAAATTGAAAAATTGTACACGCCTCAAGGATAACGACACAATAATTTCATTATTTAAACGGCCGTCTGGTGTAGTGGTAAGTGACATGGTCACTACATAAGGGGGTCGCGTGTTCGAATCCCGCCAAGGGAAGATATTTGTATGATAAATATAAATGCCTTTTCCAGGGTTATGGATGTATATTAAATATATGTATGTGTATAATAAAAATCTTACATTTATTTCCGTTATCTGGTACGTGTAACACAAGCTCTTTACGAACTTATAACGGGACTAGTTAACGTGGCGTGATTGTTAGTAAATATTTGTTATTTATTTATTTATTATTATTATTGTAACTTAATGTGTTCATGTACCCTCTGTATGTAATGAGTGTGTGCATGAGTAGAGGGTGTGTGGGGGTGTAATCAAAATTATTAAAACTTAATTGAATGAATTTTCAGTATCCTTATAGTTCAAATTTAAAAGTTTTGCATTTCTTATTGCTTAGGGAATATAATATATAGGTATTAAGATGTTTACTAATGTTATTGTACATAGTGAGATTTCAAAAGCATAAGAACCTACGAATAAATTGGGTCTTAAAGGGAATAGTTCTACAGACATTAATAATGATTGCATCGCCTCTGTACAAAATTAGGATTGCAAAGACAAATGGTATGTTATTGTAAGATTGTTTTATAAATAAATAATTGCCGTTTAGTAAGCACTTCACAATTTTGATAAAGCTGGTGTGTAGGGTACGTCTAGATGTAAAAGAGCAAACTTTGAAGATGGTCCTCTGGGCTTTTTCTATTGGAAGCAAATTCGCTTTGGAAGTTCCACCCCAAGAAGTAATGCAATAAAACAAACATATTATTATACTAGCGACCCGCCCTCGCTTCGCTTCGGAAACATTAAAACACACATGAAACCAAAAAAATAAATTTTTTTTTTTTTTTTTTAAAAGTACCCTATGTTCATCAGGGACAATGTCGGCTTCTAATGGAAAAAGAATTTTTCAAATCGGTCCAGTAGTATCGGAGCCTATTCGAAACAAACAAACAAACAAATCTTTCCTCTTTATAATATTAGTATAGAAGTATAGACTAAACATGATCGGAGTTTGCTACCACGGTGCCCGTCTAATCATACTATGACGCTATTTAGTGAAAATCTCTGCGTAACCTGAGTGAGAGTAAATATTAATGCCTTTGCAAGATACGACGAACCTCTGGAGATCCTCCGGAAATTACTTGTATACCACTTTGATTCACGGAACGTAATGAGAAATAGGCAACATTGAACATCCCGCTATCGCATTCTAAGGAAACCTTTAGAGGCCGAAATATGTTCGCAATAGGAGTTTTCGACTGTGAATGTATTAACATTTAAATAGGTTTTATGTTGACTGATTCGGTGGTGCAGTAATTAGCGCCCCTGAATGCTGCGCCAAGGGTCGTGGGTTCGATTACCACATCAAGTGAACGTTATGTGATGAGCAGCTTTGTTTGCTCTTTGTCTGGATGTTTATTTTCTATCATCATAATCAAAATCAATCAGCCTGTATCTCTCCACTGCTGGATGTAGACCTCTCCCATAGTCCGCCACAATGAACGGTCCTTCGCCTTCCGTATCCAATTTTCTCCAGAATGTCGCTGCAAGACATCGGTCCATCGGGCAGGGAGATATATTATCTATACTAGCAGACCTGGCCACACGTTGCTGTGGCTAAGGTTTTTGGTTCTAAATAGCACGTAGCCGGCTATGCTAATTAATACCAAGAATTAACAAAGTAAGAACAATCGGATTTCACTGTATTGCGATTACTACGAAATAAATTTCACTTATACTTTAGCCTCAGCAACACGTGGTGCTTGTGCCATTAAATTGTAGCTTATGTGAAACGTTGGTATTATTAACACAGCGCCATCTATGAGATATTATTTTTTATTTTTTTTTATTGCCTTTGTAGGCAGACGGGCATACGGCCCACCTGATGGTGAGTGGTTACCGTCGCTCATGGACTTCAGCAATGCCAGGGGCAGAGCCAAGCCGCTGCCTACCGCTTAATACTCTCCATAAGCCTCGTTTGAAGAAGGACATGTCATAGCGCTCGGGAAACACCGTGGAGGGGAGCTCATTCCATAGCCGGATGGTACGTGGCAAAAAAGATCTCTGGNGCGTGTGCGTGTGTGTGTGTGTGTGTGTGTGTGTGTGTGTGTTGTTCGCAATTATTATCATATTATTATTATCTTGAATTGAATGATTTGAAACATGTTAACCGAATGATTTTAGGGGAAACGAATGAAACCCGACTACAATTCTTTGAGACTACGGAGTATCGCTCAATGTATGAAAATCACTGATTTATTAAAAATACTCGCGTGTCATACGTTGAAGGTAGTATAACAAAAGCCTTGATTGAGTCACCAATAATCCCAAAACTGCGATTCTTCAATTCAGATTGAAATCAATAAACACAAAGTCTCAAACTAAAATGAATAAAAAATACACGAATACCAACAAACAAATATTGATTTAAAAATTAAAGCCTTCGTCAAACAGAATGCGTACTTAGCGCCGCGTACTTAACGTCGCGCTCTTTTCATGTCACAGAAATTGACTAGATGAGTCTAACGCTCCTTGACGCAACGCATTCGCCAAATCATAGTGCCCTCGATAGCAGTGTGAAAATTTAAAAGTATTAAGAAATCGAGTGATTCAGATGTGGCATTGTATAAGCAGGGGTATTTTCTAACTATTTATATCATTTTTTCGGGCATTATCTAGTATTTTAATACACATTCACTCGGACGCTAAAATAAAATTTGTAAAAAATTACAACGCCTGACGCCAAAGCATCCTAACGCCGCGACAGAGCGCTACGTACTTATAGCGCTGGGGCTTAGTTTGACGGTATGTTACCTGTACACCTACCATGTACTCTGACGCGCGCTAATTACGCGTTCTGTTTGACGAAGGCTTTAGAATTCCACAATTAATCTATTTTGTTTTTCTCGTATTGCATACGTAATTTAACGTTTTCGGTATTTATTTAAATGAATTCCTCCGTCTGTGGCTCTAATAGGTAAGACGACCCACGTATTCAAGTGAAGTGATTGTGGCGAGGCTCCAAAAACGACCGGCGGTTACTTACTAATATTTTCAAAACCATCACCAAACAGATCCCGACTTGAATAATAAAATAGTTGAACAATAGCAAATAGTAATAATCCATACGTTTTTTTTTGCGTATTTTCAGTAAAAAATTTGGAACGTTGCGAATGTTTAACGCCGTTACCGAAAAATAAAGCCGCTGTTACAATTTCAGAATCGGTCGATACACTAATGTTGCGGTGTTTATGAGGTCCGGGACCAATTAAGACCAGCTGGTCCGTAAGCTCGTCGACGTAAATAGATCTAACAAACAAAAAAAACATTGAGCTAGAAATAGTTTAAGCATCTTTCATATTTTATTAAATTAATACCTTAAATCAGGGCAAAAGAAATTAATTTCTTGGAATTTATTGACATCGTTATGTGGCGAAAATAAGTAAAGCCTTATTTCTATCTCTTCTAAATCAAAGGCACCTAACAAAACTGCTTTTTCTAAGCAACTTTCTCTTAAACGTCAACAAATTCCCTAGTAGGTATGTACGTGCCCAAAATTATGCATACATTCGGTATGAAAATATTAAAACGTTCAAATTCACAGGAGTAGCTCCATCCTCGAGTCGAAAACTCTCAGGGGATCCGGTAAACCACCGAATTCTTGGAAACTTTCCCGGAGCACATTCTTGTCGAGTTGAACCCTTCCAACTTGTTTAGGAGCGTACACGTCCTTGTACGCATCACGCCAATCCTCTGCATCGCATTTATTTTTATCAGGAAAATCTCTACTGTAAAGTCTGGCCCAAATTCTATCCTCTTTTACGAGTCCATGAATTCTTTTACACGATTCCGATAGATTCAAAACGTCTTTAACGGGAAGGAGAAGTATTATCTGATGGAATACGTCATCAGGAAGGCCTGTAAGGTTACCGCTTGGGAAACTGTGATAATTAAGAATCGTACTTTTCATGGGAATGACAATTTTCTCTTTGAAATTCAAAAACATTGCGTCTAAATTCTCAAAGTCGTTGATCAAACCGTATTTCCCTGTTTTTACGTTTTCGTTGATATTAAAACAAACGAAATACGATTTTTCATATAACCGGGGTATGGTTGCGACAATCAAAAATATATCGTTCAAATCGCATCCGATTAGTTTGAGTGGTAAATTTCTGTAATTTCTCAACATTAATGTCGCCTCGTAGGGCGCCGGTTTTTTATTCAATAAATACTCATATTTATCTGCAGTTTCGCCCGTATCTTTTAAGAGCACAAACTCGTCTTCTTCCATTACGGTTAAAAGCAATGCGAATATCAGTTCCCTCTTCAAACATTCTGGTTTCATCAAATTTTCAATCAATGCGCTTAATGCTTGCTGCAGATCGGTCGATGTGTCCCCATTTCTAATACCTTTGTGGCCGTCCTCCATTGTTTTGGCTTCACCTTTTGTTGTTGTTGTAACCTTTTGTCGTTAGTGGCTATTGAAAGTTGTTGTTTAATTTCCAAAGGGAATTGTGAAATGGAAATATCTTTCTCAATGACAATGACAGTATTTTTTTGCTAGTAATGTTATGACAAGTCAAAGAGTTTTATTACGGATATGAGATTTACCACTTTTATGAGGATCAGTTCTACGTATTTTATTAAATAAACATGTGATTGCGTAGGATATCTATTAAGTAAATACCTGTTCTCAAAATTATCTATCCTACATTTTATAATCGTTGTTATATGGAAGATTTTTGCGATATAAATTTATTAATGCAAATTATCTGGATTGTCTTTGAATGACTCTACCGAAATAGAAAATTAAAAACCTCTTTCTTTCGTTTTTTCATGATTTTAATAGCAAAAAAATACTGCTTATACGTCATTACGTGGATAATATGCGTGTATATTTATTTTTGTTCTAAGGTTTTTGACTACATCGTAAATGTTTTTCTTTGTTTGCTTAATGTACGTTATTTGTAACATTATGTTTGGTGTATTTGTTATACAATATTATCAGACCGGAGGCTGTTGGCATGTTTAATTATAAAACAACAGAGATGCATACGCACTCACTCTAATCCCCGGAGGTAGTCGCGATAAGGAATTAATGGGTGACCCAATTTTAGGTTTAGGTTGTTCTTTGCAATGCGAATCGGCATTCTCAAAGACATACTCTTTGTACTTTTACCATAGAATTTTGCTGTATGAAAAAAGTTGAAAACCCAACAAAATTCAGGTATGGAAATTAAATGTCTTTCACAATAAATGGTTTTATCGCTTAAAATGTTATTTCGTTGATAACCTTGAACGGAGAACATAAATAGAGATAAAGTTATGCAAACGATTTACTGTGTTTAAAATAAGATACGCCAATATTCACTCAACTCGACGAGTTCGTACGTAATCATACGTCCTAACCTAACATGTCCTACTTTTTATCTCTCTGCTTCACAATAATTATACGCTTTAAATAAAAATACAAAAATTAATTTCTATAATATCAAAACTGAGAGCTTCTTTAAATTACTCTTAATATACAGCTTGTGATTACAATGGCCACAAATAGTCACTTTTGTACAAAATCATGATCAAATATACAAGATTCCAAAAAACGCATCTCCTATATAATAGTCCATAGAGTTGTTCTTCAACAAATCGACTTACGACTTACCTGCTAGTAAGCAGTTATTATCGCTCATAGGCATAAGCGATGTAAGATGCGTGGCAAGGTGCTTCGGTCCGCTAAGGATCTTTTTATATCTTTAAAGTTAATTACAGAGGCGAAAAAACCTGAAGCTATTTTTTATCCCAATATGTATTGATAAAGTTTGTCATACCACCCGGCTTTGGAATGAGCACCACCCACGGTGTTTCCCACGCGCTAGGATATGTCCTTCTTCAAATGAGGCTTGTGGAAAGTACTTAACGGTAGGCAGCGGCTTAACATAATAACAAAATTATGATTTGCGTAATTACTGGTGGTAGGACCTCTTGTGAGTCCGCGCGGATAGGTACCACCACTCTGCCTATTTCTGCCGTGAAGCAGTAATGCGTTTCGGTTTAAAGGGCGGGGCAGCCGTCGTAACTATACTGAGACCTTAGAACTGATGTCTCAAGGTGGGTGGTACATTTACGTCATAGACGTCTATGGGCTCCACTAACCACTTAACACCAGGTGGTCCGTGAGCTCGTCCACCAATCTAAACAATAAAAAAAACCCGGTGCGTTAACCCCCTCGACCGGGTATCCGTAAATGGAATCAACGGCGTTAAAAAAAAGGCAGCGGCTTGGCTCTACCCGTAGCATTGCTGACGTCTATGGGTGACGGTAACCACTCACAACCAAGTGAGCCGCATGCTCGTCAAAAAAATGATTAGAGTTCTAAAGTCCCAGTTTCAGTACAACGGCTGCCCCACCCTTCAAACCGAAACGCGTTACTGCTTCACGACAGAAATAGACAGGGTGGTGGTACCTGCCACTGCCATACGTCCCGCCACCAGTAAGAAATTAGTGGAATACATATATATATAAGATTATCTATTATATTTCTTCTTAAAGCAAAACACTATGTGATTCATCTAAAACAGAGTTTTATTTATTACTAGCGGCCCGCTCCGGCTCCGCTCGGGTCTTTGACAAAAATTTCAATGATATTTGACGTTGTTTTTTTTTTTAAATAAAATAACACTTATTGCGGCATAAATATAAATAATAGTTAGACATATGCTGCCACGACACTTTTTGTAAATAATAATGTGTTCTACAAAGTCGTAGTACATTATTTTATTCTATCATCAATGGTTTTCGCAGGGCACGCGATGTAAATAATATTTTACGTATTTTTTTACACCTTGCGTTACATTATTGGAGTTTTAGTAAGGATCCCTAATTTGTAACAAAAAAATTATAGCCTTTGTCACTCGGGAATAGTGTAGCTTCCAAACAGTGAAAGAATTTTTCAAATCGGCTCAGTAGTTTCGGAGCCTATTCAATACAAACAAACAAACAAATCTTTCCTCTTTATAATATTAGTATAGAAATACAGATATATTTTACTTAACAAATATCAACTAATGAAATAACAACTAACCTAAAACAGAGAATCGACAGTTAAATGTTCATGCTTTACTATTCTGGTATTTCAATTTGAATTATCCTTTTCGCTTTTATAATAAAGCAAATTCACAAAGAGTTTTAATGAATTATATATTTTTATTCCGATCGAGAAAAAAACACGTTTCTCTCTTTGTCCCACTTGTGGCTCCCTCTTATGGTTGAATGCTGAACTAATACATACTCAAATGTTAATGTTTCTGTCAACGTCAATGTCAACACAAAGCTTACATATTGACGCTTGATAGGCAAACGAGACTATAGTAGAATTATTTTGTCCGTGCAGTTTGGGTCATAAAAAATCGGAGCGGTGAAGCGAGTATTTCCCTCTCTCTTCCACTCACGAGCCTTATGGACGGGCATAGTGAAGCGCATTATTGTTGTCGATAAACGTTATCGATAGTGTATTTAGTTTGTCATTTTGTGGGTTAGTGATAAAAATGAAAGAAAAAATCACTAATCGAACATTTACACCACATATCGCTGCAGCAAATTAACGAGAACGGCAGAAATTAACACTTTGTAACTTTTCGGGACTTATTCTTATTTCAGTGAAAAATTTTAACACATTGTTAACAACACGTGCAAATATTATTTTGAATAAATTCTGCCGATTTGATACAAAACAAAGGAGTAGCCATTGTGTCACTAAAGAAATTCAGGGAACGAATGCATAAAAACACATTTCTCTTCGACATAATGTATACTATAACTTGCAGTTAACTACAAATGAATCATAACATAACAATGTTTCACCACCCTTCGTATACCACCCCGCCGCCGTGTACCTGCCTTCGATGACTCATTTGTTTTTATCGATAATGGCGTTGCGCTCGCGCAACATGCTCACCGCCCTAGCCGGGCTATGTTTTATGACCCAAACTGCAGGGACAAAATAATTCTACTACTGTCTCTAGCGACAATAACTGCTTTGTACATAAATGATAGACAATAACCATAGTCGATGCGCAAAAAAAAAATATATATTTCTAGATCTATTAAAATCATTTCAATCCTACAGCTAGATTCGTTAAAATATATTTTTTTTCAGGTATTTCAACTTTAAATTAGTCTACTGTAAAGTTCACGCATTGTCGCTTAGTCACGTTTGCCTTTCAAGCGTCGATATATGATCAAGAAACCATTTCGAATTCCAGGTAAACGAAACAATGATATTAAGACTCCAATAGCGATGCAAGAAATTAATGAAGCGTACATCGCATGCGGTTTCGGATGGTTCCACATCCGGCTACTGGCTATATCGTTTGTGGGCTTCGTGGCGGGGGTTTTGGTCAGCAACAGCACTGCGTACCTGCTCCCCAGTGCCGAATGCGATCTCAACATGTCGTTGGTGCAGAAAGGCTTACTGAATGCTATACCTTACTCAGGTAATTGGGTGATATAGGTAACGTATTATCGTATACTGTTATGTCATTTAATTTTATGCTTAAACCACCGACCTGTAAACTTTTTGAGACAAGTCAAATTGTCAATTTTATTGGAACAGTGGCTATGATTCAAACTAGTTTACATAACTGCGTCATCCCAGAACTACGTAGGATCGTGGTAGCTAGACGTGTAATTTATCCTCACGGATTATTATAAATTTTGAAAGACAAATAAAAAAATAATAAAATAAAAGATAAAAATCGCTTGATCCAAGTGCACCGGGGATCTTATCATACGGACTCGTGATTTAATACAGCAAATTTCAAACGAACTAAAAACCGTAAGGTCCTTCTAAGTAATAGGATTACGTGTGATGATGACCAGGAGCCAATGGATAACGATTGATTTCCGTCAGACAAAAATATAACAAGGTTGTAATCTACATTTGCTTATTTATTAAAATTCCAATCTATTTAAGAGAAAATTTGATCAATTAATAAAATCACAACTGTGAATTGAATGTATATTTTGTTTACTTTGTATCTCCGAATTGTGTTGCATTTATTCTGAACAATGAATTAAATTAAACCAGACTAAAAGTTATACTTCAAAGAAAACCTTCATTCTAATGGAAGGTAGCTTCAAATAAATACGAATCGAAGTATGAAACATTACTAGATTGAACGTAGACGAAGTAATGGAACAAAAAACAAGAATACATAAAAGAAAACCGTTCTCACTGAATTCAGAAATTTAATACAATAGAATGATATTTTTAAGAAAGCTGAGAAGTCGCATAATATTATTTTTAGTAATAGGATTCGTTGTATTAAAGATTGGTGCATAAAAATGTAAAGGCAGCGTGATATAGATCTGAAATAGTACCACAACATCTTATTCTGTTTTTGTCGTAAAAGGTGATTAAGGGATTTGCCGGAGAACAGACGGCAGTGTTCTTTGACCACACCAGCGAACTGCGATCACCATCCTCTATTTGCCAGTTCTAGCACGTATTGTAAGCCCGCATGGATAGGGAATATCTTTCCAATTTCCTGTATCTCTGAGTCTCTGCGTACTTATTTTACTAAAAAATTAAATGGAAATAAGATATTAAAAGAATGAAATTGTAAAATCAAGGAAAGAAATAAACTTCAAACAACATAATATTATACCTTCAGATCTTTCGTCTAAGACAGGGGCTCCCAAACTTATTGTATCTACTGCCCACTTTGAGAATAAATTATTCTCACCTACTTAAAAACCACTATAGCGAGAGCTCAGTCGGTGTCTAAGAGTCCTCCTAGATGAAATTACAAATCGCCTCCCAAGCCTCCTCTACACAACACCCGCATTTCTCTTACTGCCCAGCTTTAAGCCTGCAGCGCCCAGAAGGGGGCGCTATCACCCACTTTGGGAAAGGCTGGTCAAGATTTACCTATGACTTACAATAACTTACTTTACTTAAAATAAATTCATATATTAAAAGGTATAAAATGCCATCCCTAATCCTCTATATCTATAAAATATTAACACAAATTAATTAGGTATGTTTACAATTTAGTAACTAAACTGATATTTAAATACTTAAACAACATTGCATCAACGAGAACCACCGAAAATTCCTGCAGTGAAACTCCTTGATTAGTCAATTTATTTAGGGGTGCCTCCATAAAATATTTATACAATTTATTACTACAGGAATGCTGCTCTCGACCGTGATAGCCGGATTCCTAACCGACACTTTTGGGAGGAAGACTTTTGTTACTCTCGGATTCGGAGGGATGTTTATATTCATGTTCATTTCGGCTTCAAGCCAAACTTACGAAGTATTGATCACGGCAAAATTCTTCGAGGGTATTCTGTGAGTAGAATTTATATATTATGTATCTTTTTCTAAGTATTATCTTACTGTTGCAAATGAGTATGATGTGCGACTTAATTAATCGGCCTCGGTTTTTTCCATAGTTAGCTAAATGGCTAGTAATCACTCCGCGCCGTGGAGTTATAGTTGGTCTATTAATGTTAATGGTTTACAAGTTGTCGTCCGTAGACATTCGTAGGATGCGTTTTTTACAGTTGATAGGCAAAAAATATCGTGGACTATCTGTTCTTAAGGTTACCAAGGACATTAAGATAAATTAATCAAGATAACAACTGGTACATACCAAATATCTAAGTTGTGACCTCTTCAATCGATACTATTGCAGTGTTTTTATTTTATAATTAGGCAGGCAAGCTCACGGTATGTCTAATGCCAAATGATTATCAAAGCTCAATTTAAGATCAAAGCTGAGTGATTCAATATTAATTCTATATTACAAAACACAGAAGCAGCTTCCTCGATGCTTTTGTTTCAAAACTTAGAGATTTCGAGTTCGCCAATTCTATTCTTGAAGGAGTTTCATGTTGGTGCCATAATAACTTTCTGTCCTGTCTCTTCCATACAAGCACCACTCGAGTAGGCAGAAGCTGATTTAAGTTATTTCTTCGAATTATCCTCAAATAATTAATTTAATAGATTACCTCACAAATATGATGCATATTTTCCAATTCTTTATAAGTCACGTCATCATTCAGCAACGTTGTATGTAGAGAAATTATTTAAGCAATATTTCTGGAACCGTGTGCCCGCTTACGAAATTCCCGATACAGGACTTATAAGAATTCGATTATAAATTCATTAGCTTTTGCCCGCGACTTCGTCCGCGTGGAATAGTTACTTTGGCATAACGCTAATAAATTTTACCCGCGACTTCATTTACAGCACTCAGGATTGGAACTTCATTACTGAACCGGTAGATGGCGTTGAAGAAGCTAGATTTTGAGATATTTTGACAAACAATTTTTTAATTTTTCGTAAAAAATATTTTTTTTTTCTTAATAAAAAGTATCCTATGCTACTTCTAATACCTCCAAGAATATGTGTACAAAGTTTCATGATGATCGGTTGAGTAGTTTTCGCGTGAAAGCGTAACAAACAAACTTACATTCACATTTATATATTAGTAGGGATTATATTTGACAGATTTGCAACATCCTTCAGTGCGGCGGTAACGTTGACAACCGAATACTGCCACAATCGAATCAGGGACCGAGTTTTCCTATGCCAGTCGTCTTTCGCCGCTATTGCACAAATTATCATTGCTGCGATGTCATTTGCGATATTAATGAATGATTGGAAATTTAATCTGGGAGGTTTTTTGGGTAAGGAAATTAATAGTTGTATAGTAGCTCGTTTGAGAAACTATGACCAAGTATGATGCCTAATGTGCTTTCAACCTGGTCCACTATGTAAATCTGCGGACATAGTACCTTGCTTTAAGCGGTTCCTGGAGTCCGTAGACTAGCCCGAATGCCGTTAAACATATTGAAATACAAGGTTAGTATCTCTAACAGCACTTTTAGAGCAAGGCGAATGTCTCTAGTAATACTGTACAACAGCAGTACCACTTTTCAAATTAAATATGCTTCGTATTATAATTTGGTAGCGCGGTTGTATTCATGAGTTTCGCAGTGAGTAAGCACGTCTTAAAACCAGTAAAAGTTGGTTTAGTGAGCAAATCATTCTATATTTGAATTGCAGTCGACAGGCAGCGAATCTCGTGGCTAGCCTCGTGTTTGGTAGTTGCAAAAGTCCATAGACATTCTTCAATTGCACGTTTAGATAGCTGTTGTGCTTCAAACCGGAATCGATCGATGCTTCTCGGCGAAAACGGACGGCACGTACCCCTTTTGTGATCTTCAAAATATCCTAGGAGTAAGTATTATAAATAAATTTCAAATTTAATTTTAGATAGAAATACACTTGTTATCGGTACATTTTTTACCAAAACGTACAAAGGTTTTGTTTGGAGATAGTGTAACATCGAAACATTGGGTGAGACATTATTTTTATTCAATTTGGACTGGAACTAATCGTTCAGAATTTCATCAATTCCCCTTAAAATACACGAAAAGGACGAAGGAATAATAGTTGACTGGAAATCCAAATGCAATCGACTTCCACTTGCACCACGCAGAGAGCTTTATAAATACACTTGGTAGTACAGTAGCAAAAGTTACGTGCACGTCATATGTGTGTATAATCTTATTACTGGTGACATCCACTCGAGCTTCGCTGTGACTATTGGTTAATGTATTAAATATAGCTATTTGCTGATACTACTGGTACGCCATTTATTGTGACTGGGAATATGAGAAAAATCTTCTCTGAAGTCTCAACAAGATTGGCACCAGTTCCAGTGAATGGATTAAGCGAAAAAGTGTCAGATCAAGGGATCTCACAGAATTTGAAGCTTAGGAGCTAGTTCATTTATTTTATCTATGACATTCTGTGTCTCAAATAAATAGTTGAGAAAAATCTATCGGATATATTGTGAGCTTTCACGAATATCATGATACTAGGTTCGGCCAGTTTCTTTAAGAACATTCTTGCGTTACTCTTCATAGATTAGGATTTTCGCTATCCGAGCACAATTCATCAATCAATTCAATTCAGCTCATATGATTTCAAGCCAATAAGTAAAAAAAATTAGACCAAATAATCTGAATGACCCCAATAAGTTTTAACTATTGTGCATGTAACCGACTAAAGTGGTAACAGTACCCAAAGTAATAATAGGAAATGCATTCCATCAGATATATATTTAACTCATTTGATGATATTATTATGTCTCAAAATGAGCAGCTATTTAAGATAATGTGTATACGGTCTGAGCACAACCTAAGCTGGTAAATAATGTCTAGATCTAGGTAGACCTTTGTCCTGCGGTACATTTAAGTATAAACAAACTTATCTTTTAATTGAACCAATCTCACGGTAGGGTATTTCGTGCACCACTATCATATACTACGGTGCAGCAGTTATACAACGTAATGAAGACTTTAAATTTAAGTCTAAAGGGGTACCAGCATGTTTTGAGGATATTACTGCGGTATCCTTCAGAGTAGGCAATGAATTTCATCCACACACTTATAAATATTTATAATATAAATCCTGAATGAGGCATCGATGCCTTTGGGGCTCGAGCCCCAAAACTAACGATGTTATCCTTTTACAGAACTGAACACTTGGAATTTTTACCTATATCTGATGTCTTTGTGGTCAGTATCAGCGTGTTTGTTGTACACGATTTTCATTCCCGAAAGTCCAAAATACTTGATAACGCAGAAGAAATTCACCGAAGCGAGGAATATATTAATCAAAATGTATACAATGAATACTGGTAAACCAGAGAACACATTTCCGGTAAGATTTGCATTTTTGGTGAAGTTCTGTCAAATGCTAAAACTAATTTGACTGACTAATTATGTAACCAGGCGAGATCTCCTGTACCATTGTAGCAATTTGTTGAAGCTTAATGAACCCACCAGCCGTAGACAGACTATGATAGGAAACTTTATTACCAACAACAATTGGAACAAGGATGAACTGATCATATTCATACTCAAATAATAGCAGGGCTGGACATCTAATTTGTTTAAGCTACAGAGTAAATAATCATATCGTCTATATATAGTGCGCGATTACCAGAAGTTCTATTATGAATAAACTACCAAACATGCTATTAAACTCAGGGTAGATTTTTAATCACATTGTTTTAATAATGTTCTCTTACTACTTTATACCACTTTCACTAACCAGCTACGAACACTCTGATGTAATTTAGAGTGTTAAAAGCAATTTGACTACATCAAAGCGACGTTGTTTGATTAAAACAATACGAAAATTATTCTTCAAAATAAAAGTCTATTAATAAAATTTAATCTAAGCTTGAAAATAAAAGCTTTAGAAAGTTTCCACTAACTTAAAGCTCGAGATATTAAGCTCGAGTATTTATTCGCTGCTTTGAATTGAATGTTTAATCAACACATTGTAGGGATAAATGAAAAATGTTGTTTTTCTTTTGTTTTTTTAACCATTTTCTTTTTCTGACTTGTTCACTATATTTATTTTCTTTATTAAAATTCATCTCAGAATATAACTTTTTTTAGAGCTTTTTGTAAGCTTTTTTTGCATATGAATTCAAACTGTAAAATCTGATGTTTATGTATATTAAAGAAATTGATTAAACATTGAAAGGGGATAACTGAAGAAGAATAATTGGGCATAAACTAATCAGTTGCTTTTTAGAGCTTAGAGTTATTTTCTATGAATTTCTCTGTATGTCAGTTCACACACATCTATGAAACCACTGCATGGATTTTCATGTAGTTTTCACTGTTTGAAATAAATTTGTAGGTAGGTAGAAAAAAATCGGGTTTTGCCGAAGAAAAATCATCACTTAGAGATGCATAGAATTTTATTTCTGTCGTTTTCACATCAAATAAACTAACTGGTTTTAACTAAATTAACTAAGTTGAGTATGGAAATAGTGTAATATAGGCTAATCTTTCATCCCACTGTTGACCACCTTCACCTACACCTAATAAATTGTAATCCAGTCGAGGTTGCGAGTAAAAAGCTATTTGGTAATATATAAGCACATCACACTTGAAACATTAAGTCGAACTCAAATATAAAGTAAATCGTTATGTAATTTTATTCTACAACTTAAATGTTTTGTTTCGGAAATTATAGGAAATTCAAAATTGTGTTATTTAAAATTAATTCATGCTTTATTGTTGAAAACATTAATGCACACAGTTTGATATGCTTTTTATAACTGCCTGCTGGATATAATAACAAAGCGTAGTCGCATTCTTCGATACGAATATCTGGGCGTGATAACCTTTATGTTTCCAATTAAGTATTCGAACAAAAATCAACTTGTTCCTTTTTTTTTTAATAGTACCCAAACTTATGGAAAGATAAGCTGCCACAGCAAGTCGAAGAAGCTTCGAAAGAAAATCTATGTAAAGCTTTTAAACACCAGATTGTCGTCGGGCTAAGAAATGTTAAACCAATGTTCAGGAGACCTTTGGTTTTGTATCTGCTAATGATTAGTTTCTCGCAGTTTTTGATAATGGGTGTGTAAGTATTGTTTTAGAATTATTGGATGATAAAATTCGTAGATCCGACGGTGAAAAGGAATAACGGGCATACAAAAAAATCTTTTAACAATTCCCATAGATTATTTTATATATAAAATTCTCGTGTCACAATGTTAGTTACCATACTCCTCTGAAACGGTCAGACCGATTTTTATGATATTTTATATGCATGTTCAGTAGGTATGAGAATCGGCTACTATCTATTTTTCTTAAGTGGTAAGGGTTGTCCCTAACTTTTATTTTTTGGATAATTTTTTTTGTTGTTATAATGAGGCATTATGTGGTTGAATGAGATTTTGTTATTTTTATTATATATTCCCTCATCGTTCACAGCGCTACATGCCTCTTTCACTCATATACCATCTTAACACACTTACAATAAGTTTTTTTTTACAATTCCCTAGTAAGTAAGCATGGCAAAACAACGTTTGCCGGGTCAGCTAGTACAGTATAAAAAGAGAGAAGTAATACACTTCCTTAGACCAAGAGATACCAAAATGTTCGTAAGTTCAATAGATACATTTTGTGATTCGCGTTCTGGCTTTTAACATTGAACACCGAAAATGGTGTTACACTAGGTTGGCCGTGAATGACCTTACCTCTTTATCTTATAATAGTAGCCTTTGTTGCTGAGGTCAACAAATTTACAAAAATATTTATGTTTTTAATTTCTTTTTAGACAATTCAATGTCACAAAACATCTTGTTACAATACCCTTGTGCGTTTAAATATTATAATATAATATTTTATTATATATAATTATATTAATATTATAATATAAAATTTGGTTTAAGTATTTTACAAGATCATCTAGCCGTTTCTAAAAGCAACAACAGAAAGAAATAAAGCCTAACTAATTCGCCTATAATTTTCAGGTACAACGTATTGAGATTATGGTATCCTCAATTGTCGACTATTGTCGAACACTACAGTACGGGATCTAACAGTAATTTGTGTAGCATGTTGGACGCTTACACAGCTGACCTGAAGACCGCTGTGACTAACTCGTCGAGCTCCGACGTCTGTGTGGTGGTAAGTAGGAGCAATACAGCAAAATCTATACAGCGAAACCTGGGTATTTGAAGATTTACTAAGGATTCCAAACTCTTGTTTGGAATTGCTTAGATGGGTGGACGAGCTCATAGCCCACCTGGTGTTTAGTGGTGACTGGAGCCCATAGACATCTACCACGTAAATGCGCTACCCACCTTGAGATATAAGTTCTCTATAAGTGAGATCTCAGTATAGTTACAACGGCCCCACCCTTCAAACCGTAACGCATTACTGCTTCACGGCAGAAATAGGCAGGGTGGTGGTACCTACCCGCGCGGTCTCTCAAGAGGTCCTACCACCAGTAACGTAGTAAGAGTTATACAGCAAATCTACATAGTGAAACCTAGGTATTTGAAGATTTACCAAGGATTCCAAACTCTTGTGTCAAGATGATCAGCTGCAAGATTTAAGTTGGATATGACTTCACCTCTATTTGGCTGAATAGGTAATTTCTTCTTCTTAGAGTGGTTAGAGTCAGGCAGCCATTTTTGGGATGACCGCGAGCTTAGTTGCAGTGTTTACTTCTATCCTGGGGGATTCACCACTAATTTAATCTAACACAGAACGCCTCCTTAGCGCTGTGATAGCACAGTTTTTTTTCAATCCCGCACCAAAAGAAAAGTCACATATGATACAATGTTGGTATTGGTGGTGTGGAAGTGGTGGTTAATCTGCTTAGAATACTATCGGTGATTTTGTCAGATTAAGGCGCAATGCAAGTCTTTAAGATTGACATATTTAAAACAAATAACCTGATTCTTGGAAAATTGGTGTTCTCTTGAAAATGGTGTAGTTAAATGGGCTCATTAATTATTCTGCCAAGTTTTACTGACAACTCTTGACTTTGAAAGTAGCATCTGCTATCATATTTGGAATTGGCGACAACTCAAGATTATGGGCACTTAGTTTCTTGGATGAAACTAATTCAACCTGAATCATTTGCGTAATAATATTTTACCACTATTTTTTATCGTTCAAAGGGTAGTTATTATAGGAATTAATCCACGTTATGATATTTATATCGTAAACAATACGAAATTGTCATAATTGAAAATAAATTATGGAAATAATAACAGCTAACGTTTAGTGGATTACAAAAATATAATAGTAAATATAGAAATATGAAGGCCATTGCTTTGTTCTAATGGAATATTGGATTACAATTTCCGTAATTGTCAAAGCCGTTTGTGTTGGATTTAGAGATAATTTTACTTTAAATAATTTATTACCGTGCTCTTGTAGGCACTATTTTAGGAAGTGAAGGTAAATTTCTATTTATTTATCTATTAACCTATTATGAAGCGGTTTTCTATTGGAGATCACAACGTTACATCGTCACTCATATTGAGATGTGATCTAAAGAAAGTTGACAGGAAGAGATCGGCAATAAGTGTGCCCATTTTAGTTTTATTTTTTTTACATATTATCTTAATTTGGGAGTGAATTTGGTATAAATTTGGCTACACCGTCGCTTAAGCCACAACGCACATTTGCGATGCAGCCCAAATAGGTTAGATGTTCTAGGGCTAATTCCTATCTATAATAGGACCACTGACACACTAAGATCGACTAAGCTTTTGTTTTTATGGCCTTTCGTGGTTCAAATCATCTGATTCAAAAGCGTTATTGTGTTAGGCTAGTGTTCACCATCTTCAGTTAGATGGGACTGGTGTTATAGAATTTGAATCTTAGATCTCATGTCTCATTATGACGTGAAGTTCTTATATATATAATTAAAAGTCCGCTAGCTACTTAGGACTCAGGTCGTCATAAACACTTAGGCTATCTAAAACATTCAAAATTCTAGATTCTAAAACAATACTTACTTACTTCACTTACACAAATTAGTTCATTTAATTAGTTACTTTATTCACTAAGGACTTTAGTCATACAATTATCCATTAAAATCGAATGAAAATTGTTATATATCGACACTAAAATGTTTAGAAACGCCTTTTCTGTGTAAACATTATTGTCATAATTCCCAGTAGCGAGATAAACTAAGCGCTTGCTAAGCTTTATCAAAAATTGAAACTGTCACATCGTTCCAACCAAAAAGCTGCAGATGACAGCGCGAAAGTATATATTATGTATTTCATTAAGAATGAAATTGTCGGGCTGTTTGTAAAAAAACATATTTCAATTAAACTAAACATGCTACATTGAATACTTTATGATGCCGTAAACGAACTTTCGAGGAAAGTTATAGAGCATCAACACAATGAAAGCTAAATAAAGTTAAGAAAGTTTACGACCGGGAGTCGAAGCGGGACCCTATTGAAGTCACGGTCGCCAATCACCAGACCAACCAATTGATCAAATTAGTTGATAAAATAATACAGATTTTGCGATAATCCAAAAGTAATTTGTAACTAATCATTTAAGCCAACGAAAACAGTTTTGTATTAATACAATAGCCTCTCTCTACGAGTATACGTCAATTAATTTCCCGATAGGACCTAGTAAATGTTCCAATACAGAATATAATAAGCAAAATCATAAAAATATACAAAAGCAATCTCCATATTTAGTATTCGTAATGCGAATTGAATCACCGATAGCGTTATTCAGTAAAGATCGGGCTTTTGATTGGAATTCCATACAGTCGCTCAGCTGAACATTTTCGTGAAAGTATAACAATACATTTATAGCAATTCAGAATATTGGAAGGTGACCTTTCCGCGAAGGTTATTTCGAATGATCTAGACCTACATTTGGCCACCTTCTTCTACAAACTGTTGACACTACTCGTAGTATCACATTTACAAAAATTGACGAGAAAGGCTCTCGGTCCTTTCTCAGTCTTTTGTTGAGATACCAAACGTGTGTTTTACGATTTCAATCCATTATCACATAAAACGCTTTATTTTCACATTCATCTAAGATGCATTGATTCCAGCTTCCAATCTCGAACCTATGACAGCTTAATTAGGTAGCTTACGTAAAAAAACAGTCTCGACATTACATCACTCACTAAGGATACCGATTTCTTGAAACTTCTATAGGACGGTACCTAGCTCCGCATGTCAACGTACCAGATAGTATAAGTGGCGTTGATTATCAGCATCACGTGAGATGCATGTTTCTAGACCTTAATAAAAACAAACAACATAACATTCATCAGACAACATCATATTTTATACAGATTTCAGGAAGAAATCTGTAGTTTAATATGCTTATTCTATTAAGCTATTAATATTGAAAACTTTTTTTTCTGTGAACAATTCAGTGTTTTTGTTTCTTTTAATGGATGTATTTTCTACCAGCGGCTGATCATTATCAGGGATCTTATCAGCCCCGTCAATTGAATCACTGATGAGATCCGGTAAATCATTACCGTGAAATTTCTAAACCTACAATATCTCAATTTTTTCAGTTTCTTCTTAAGCATTACCAGGCATTAAACATTACATTTGAGTGGTCGTAGGACATCCTGTGAGTCCGCCGTGAAGCAGTAATGCGTTTCGATTTGAAGGGTGGGGTAGCCGTTGTAACTATACTGAAACCTTAGAACTTATATCTCAAGGTGGGTGGCGCATTTACGTTGTAGATGTATAAGAGCTCCAGTAACCACTTAACACCAGGTGAGCTGTGAGCTCGTCCATCCCATCTAAGCAATACAAAAAAGAAAATCATCTCATCATCTGAGAATTTTTATGACTTCGTACAACATTTACGATAGTATTCAGAACCTCCATCTTATTTTCGCATTTTTATAACATCTTTTTGTTTTAGGACGGATATCACTTATATTTCTCCTTGTATTTCTTTTACAGACCCCAAGCGGAGCTGAAACATACATAAACAGCATGATTATTGGCTGCGTCTGTCTCCTACCGTATTTCGTCTCCGGGGTTATCGTCAACCGTGTTGGGAAGAAACCATTGCTGATCGCAGCTGGCGTGATCACTACAGCCATAACTTTAAGCGTTCAATGGGCCGATTCCAAAGCAGCTATCGTATCCCTTTTTGCTATCGATACAGCTGTGGGTCAGGTTTTGTTGAGCTTGAATCAGGCCTTGACAGTTGAGTTGTTTCCGACAACAACTAGGTATGTATTTGACAATATCTATATATTAATATGTGAAGCAAAAACTTTGTACCCCTTTTTACGAAAATTGCGCGGATGGAGGATTATGAAATTTTCCACACTTTTAGAGAATATAGAGAAGGAGCGCAGAATGCTAATATTTTTTTTAATTGTGCATTAATAATACACTAAATCAATAAAAAAACATTACACACACTACCATATATTTGATATAACACATACTTAAAAATTACTCTTTGTTTATTGTCAATTGTCAAACTTTTGTTATTGTTTAAAGTCTGTGGTCAAATTGGGAATCGATTAATATTGTTTGTCTTTAATATTATTTACATATCTATTGTGTAGTTTTTGCTAAATCTGTGATTATATAGAAGTATAATACTATTTGACAATAGAACCATAATAATGTTTAAAGTTATAAATTCAATTAATTATAGTCGAATTTCGACTACTGCGGGATCACTAGTTTATTTTTAAAACGTCATAACATTTTCCATCAGATACCTATTTTACGAATTGAAATATGAAACTTAGGGCCCAGGAAGTTAGGTCAAACTTGTACTTAGCAGGTCACCTAGAACTCAAGGTTAAAAAAAGGCTTATTTACTACAGGGCGTCAAAGGTAATGCTAGGTTAATTTGTAATTTATGACTGAATTAATTAACGGTCTTATTGATATTATTATTGCGATAAGCACTTTTCACAGTTGTTTAAGTATAACGAGATTGATAAAAAGCTCCGATATTTCATACTGAATATTCGACCAAAATGTTCATTACTCGTAAATACATAAATAAAGAAAAAATCTTGAAAATGTCGTGAACGCTGCTTAGGTTTTTGCTGTATTTTTTTTAACGGCAGCTACCGCGACGCATAAATAGCGTTCCTATAACTGGGTGTATCAGACAGAGGGTATTTAAGTACTTGGCAAACGTTCTGAACCGTGACCCTAGGTTAAATAGCACTTTGCAGAGCGAACTGGGGTTTAGGGGAGATATAGTATTTATTGTAAGGACAATGGGGGAATGAACAGATTAATTAGAATCGTACGGTTTCAATGGACATCGTTGGGATATTGAAGTAGTTCGAATTTTCAGATTTAATTTGATCGTATTGAGAAGATTGGCTAAGCACCAAGTATGATTGTGAGCAGGCTATAAAGTTTAGGTACGCTATAGGTATTTCAAGAAACGATAAAGAAATTTATTACTGGTGGTAGGACCTCTTGTGAGTCCGCGCGGGTGGGTACCATCACCCTGCCTATTTCTGCCGTGAAGCAGTAATGCGTTTCGGTTTGAAGGGTGAGGCAGCCGTTGTAACTATACTTGAGATCTTAGAACTTGTATCTCAAGGTGGGTGGTGCATTTACGTTGTGGATGTCTATGGGCTCCAGTAACCACTTAACACCAGGTGGGCTGTGAGCTCGTCCACCCATCTAAGCAATAAAAAAAATAAAAAAAACTTTTTCTTTTTAAATGAAGTATTACAAAATTTTTCGCAACACCCCCATTCTTACTCAGCACATACAAAACTCTGCCCTATGAATGAATATCTACTGTGTAAAACTAATAAGCACGATAGAAATGGGTACTTAATTAAATATTAATTTTATTACATACTCCTTTTTTAGCGGTGATGAAACGTATTTTTAACCTGTTAGGCTAGCTAGCTCTGCTTTTATTTTATGCGAAGGAGTCATACATTCTGGCTGCCATCTAGACCTTGCCAAATCTATATATTAATACGTGAAGCAAAAACTTTGTATCCCTTTTTACGAAAATTGCGCGGACGGAGGAGTATGAAATTTTCCACGCTTATAGAGAATATAGAGAAGAAGTGCACAATGCTAATTTTTTTTTTAAATAATGCATAAAAGATACATTAAATCAATAAATAAAACATTACACACACTACATACCATGTATTTGACGCACACACGCATGCATACTATTTATTGTCAAACTTTTGTTCTTGACGTCTGTGGTCAAATTGAGAATAGATTAAATATTGTTTGTCTTTGTTAATATTTTTTATAGAAATTTGCGATTATAGAAGTATAAAATACACTCATAATGGTGTAGAAACTTACAATTCCAATTAATTATAGTCGAATTTCGACTTCTGCGGGACCTCTAGTTTTAATAAAACCCTCCATCGTAGTTACAGACTGACTAAAACAAAACTAGAATGCTTGCTACACGCTCAAAGACATAAAGTCAAAGCCTCCAATACTTGTAGAAATAAATTCCTATTTGTTGAAACAGAACATTTTATTGCAGATACATACAAATAGAACTGTGGGATTAAAAGTTATCTGTTTGTTTTTGTATGACAGTTTTATTTTCACTTTTCACTATAGTTGAAAAGACGATTTTGTCTAGGCACCATCATTTTTTAGGTACGGGATTAAAATCACAAGTATGTTAGATTTTATCTTGGTTTACAGGCAGGGGATCCAGATCGGTTCATGATTGCTACGTTTTCAATTAATGGCTAGTTATTAACCCACTGATTTTTATGTCGGATATTCTCAGTGGGTTACGTTTCCGATCTGGTGGTAGATTTTGCGAAGCACTGCTCTCGCTATGGCATAAGTTAACAAAGTCTCACAGGATAGGCCTAAGTTTGACTACATACGACTGGAGAATAGACCTTTTTTATGTTTGAGAATTTACTGCTGGCCGGAGGCCTCTCCAGTTTTACCAAGGCAGGTGGGTGAGTAAAGGCTCAGCCAAGCCCCTGGAGGCTCCCAGCGATTATTTTAAACCATTATGTCGGGACTCACGAAACCGGAAATGAAATCGAAGTATCAGCCGAAGTTGATGAAATACCCGCCCTTGTACATAAACTTTACCAAACTTAAATTGATCCCAATACAAGTGAACGTACAGAATATCTATATTTAATACATATCCAAATATAATATGGTCTGTACAAACCTGATGTGAATTGAAACAAAGGATCCGAAATAACGGATTAATTCACAAAATCAGGACACGCTGTACAATTAAACGATGAATACGTTCATACAAACATAGATAAATGTCGAAAACAATTTGTGGTGGTCCAAATCACTGAGTCGGAATGCTTCTATTGAATTTGGAATCAAGTGTGATATGATCTTATCCGGCGCCGAATGTTCCGACCTTGCGAGACAAAGGGCCGATACAGCTTTTGTCAGTCCCACAGTCACAATAGAGCCAAATACAGACGGATGATTCTGTATTTTAAGGTATATGGAAAATTATGCGCTTCGCGATGGATGTTTTTTTTTTGTTTTGTTTGATTAAACTCAGTTTTATTAAAAAACAAAAGCGTGTTTCTCTTGTTTCGATACTAATAACTATTGAATAGATATGGACATTTTCTAAAACTATATAATTGAAATACGTGGTTTGAATTTTAAGAGCAAAAAAATATTTAAGTAGCTGCGTCTATTGTTGTAAATTGACGCTTTCCATTAAATGAGTACGTATGTGGACGATAATAGGTTTTATATTTTGAAGAGGCAAGACAAAATTTAAAGGTATCATCAATCAATTTTGACTGACTCGATGGTTAGTAGTTAGCGCCCCTGACTGTTGCTTCGAGGGTCGTGGGTTCGATTCCCACATCGGGCAAACGTTCCTCTGAAGAACTCGTTTGTTCGCTGTTTGTCTGTGTGTCGAATGACCGTGCGGGATTGCTTTCCAGTTATTGATTTATTTATCAAAAATTTTAAAATTAAAGGAAATACACATAAGACATAGTCAGTATTAAGTAATACAAATTTAACTAGAGTAATACTTTTTATCGTTTTGCAATATGTAACAAATTTAATCGGTCTTTCTATTAAAAGTGCTCAAAACTCCAACTTTTGGTTCCAGAACGTTGGCTATTTCTATGATAATGGTGGCTGGGAGGATTGGTACCTTAACAGCGAATGTGGCGTTCCCGGTCCTTCTTGATCTGGGCTGCGGAGTACCATTTTTCACGTTGACCGGAATGGTCATGTGTAAGTATATTTCCACAGTATGATCTTAGAGGGATTGTCGCAACTTATGTACTATATGTTCCATCTTACTCATATCATTATTTTAAACTAACCTCTAATTTGCTATACGCGTATAACTACCTAGACATTTGTCTAATCATGAAACGATTGTTTAAAAATAAAGAAAGTTTCGCTAGTTAAGATTCAGTATCAAATTAAAACTTATTTAAAAATGTAGTTGATATTTCTTCTATTCAGTTTCATATCTAATTACATAATAGCTAATTCCCAATTCTTATTTCAAGTGCTGGTGAAAAGATCTGTAGTAATCCCGCATGAATTGAGTTATGAGACAATTTCTGTCCGACGCAGTTCTGTCTTCTAGTTTGGAGGCTAGGTCAGCTCTTATGTCAAGGACCTCGAAATTTCAATCTCATGTATCAAGCTTAGCAGCGGTATTCATAGCAACCACTTACACTTCGGTATCGATAGCTCACATGTTTCTTGGTCCTTAAGTCGATGGAGCTCTTTGGTCTTGTCATGTCCCTTATTGCTCTTGAATATTAAATTAATTAATTACATGTTAGTAAAATGTAAGGTACGATAGAACCTAGAAAAGATTTAATTAAATTCTCTTGAAACAGTTAAAACGTTAAAGTAATTCAAAATTAGAACGATTGAATTATGTTAACGAAAAATGTCCCCAGAACCTTTTTAACAAGCTGTGGTCTGTTGAATAATAAAATAAATTTTAAATAAATTATAAAGTTTACGCAAAACTAGACAGTTTGACTTTGTTGAAAGTTTAAATCAATTTTTTGAGATATTTAAACACACACTCTTTTTTGAAATCTATTTGATAGTAATTCTATTTCCAATAATACAGTGGCAATCTTTTGGACAATATATCACGTTTTAAATATAGAAATAGAACTTTCGTGGTATTTCTATAAAAATAGAACTTTAGTGGTCTTTCTATAGAAATAGAACCTTCGTGGTCTAATGGTATCTTGTTTAGAAGATCGAGAAGGGCAAAATACTAATATTTGTAGAATTTTTTGTCATATTATTATAATAGTTATATTAATAAGAACTCAAATTAAAGTGAAAGCTATTTTGGTAACAAAAAATAATATGCCAGTTGTTATTACTGAGAGGGGAGTGATGGTTATTGATCTTCAAAAGTGTGACGTCATCGAAGTCGACGACACCTCGTGGTATGTAAGAAAACATCCAAATAGAGCGTTAACTAATTTTAATAACAGAATAAACAAAAAATATACAGAATCTAGTACTGATTCGTATTGTTAAGTTATTGAAATTGAATTGATTGGAAGTTCCAAAGCGAATTCATAATTATTATAACTGCAGCTCCATATTTTCCTTCTAACAAGTTCCTTTAGTAATTTGGTACGTTAGTCTATCCTAATATATAAATCTACAGTGGTTTTTACGGATGTTCCGTTATAATTACTGAACCATGCATCCGATTGACTTGAAACTTGGTATCCATGTAGAAAATACATGTACTTAATGGATAGGCTAATATTTATATGAGTGTTGGACTCTCTATACCAGTTGCGGGGGCGTTAATGATGAGAATCTTTGTGGGGATGAGAAATAATAATGTTAATTTTAAATGCCCAGCGAAGCGGACGGGTATAGTTAGTATACATTAATATGAATATGCTTGTGTAGGTTTCCAAGTACCGATCACAGTTCTCATCGAATCCATTCGATAAGCAACTTAGCCCACAGACAAAACCCATTGAGATTGTCGCTCGCCCGATCTTCTCAGTGGATCGCGATTCCGATCTGAAAGTAGATTCAACGAAGGACTGCTCTTGCTAGGACAGATATTAGCAGATACTCACAGACTGACTATCGCGGGTTCGTCTTAAGATCAGTGAATCCAGAACTGCCCTTCGAGGCTCCTGGGAGTAGGTAGGTTTGGGAGGTTTACGACGAAAGGAAGATCTTCCATCGAGCGGGTGATATTTGCTCGGTAGACCGACGGTCCGAATGTTGTTGTTTGGAACTTGTATATAAATGCGCTTTATCTTGAAAATATCGTAAGTAAGATTCAGGCATCTGTCAATTATCTTGCGTTGTGTGATGGCTACCCGCCACATAGGCAATAAATAGATTTTCTTATTGGGTTTTATATGCATTAGCCAATTGTTCACTGGTTCAAAGTGTTTTCTCACTTAATACTCTTAGTTTAATCGCTGCCGTCATCGTCAAAGAAAGATTTTTCTTTTAATATTTAGTGTTCACCGTCTAGAAGATTATGACTATATTGATTATTTACTATTTTCAGGTGTAACTGCGATATCTTTGTTCCTGCCTTCTGCGAAGAAGTAACTACGCTATCCGGTGTCTCTTTAAAATGGTCACAATGAGATCTTAAACAAAGTGGATACAAGAATGATCAGAATCTAAAGACCTATGAAAAACGAAAAATCTTCGAGATAGCTTTATTAATTTTTGTTTGTGATATAAGAAAAAAAGAATATAAAATTTTAATGCTACAGTCAGCTAACAGTCAGTGTTTAAAAAATTGTTTAATCGTGTCGCGTTTTATCGAAACCATGTCACATTTTTTTTAATTATTGTTTACTTCAAATCAACGGTTTTGTTTGCTCAACGGTTTGTTATTTTGCGAAAATTTTTGCTGTTGTTATCCTCCGCACTCAAAACTTTAAAATCAGTTTTATTTAATTAAATAAATTTTACAATAGTTCAGAAATGGTTTTAGAATGACGTCGTGTCAAAATACTTTAGGGCAAGGATGTATCAATATGTTTTTAAATATTGAAGTAACAGCCCATATCATCGTTTAAATTTAATATATAAAATGAGATATAGAGATTTCAGGATTCTAAATAAAAATGGGTCCAACTTGCCAAAATTAACCTAAAAAATGAATGGACTCTTGTATTACCAATGTACGTAGTGTATATTATTTATCACAAAACGTAAACAAAATATCGTTATCGTTAAAATGTAGCTTTAAAAGGATCAAAGGGGTTAACCTTTCACTGGTGCACGTAAAAACAGAGTAATCCCATTGAAGGATTTGCCTGTAGTCTTTATAAATGACTGTCGGAAAAGCTCCATTGATTTTTTGTTCTGATTGATATCTGTAATGGATTGGTATAGGCACGATTTTTAGGTTTGTTTTTCATTTTTTTTTCCTTTTTCGCTGGTAGCCTAAGAGGCTATTTCAGCTTCACCAGGACGGGTAGGTGAGCTCATGGGCTCAAGCTGAGAAAATTTGCTAACACTAGACCTAGCAAGAGCAGTGCTTCGCGAGAAACTCAGTGGGCTGTTTTTCATTGTGTTTCGGAGTTCAATGCATTTATAGTGATTGATTAGTTATGCTCTGTTAAAATGTGCTAGTCAATGTTTAGCAAATTAACACGTTAATCAAAGCATTAGCGGCCTATTCTAGCTTCAAATTCATAATCTATATAGTATATATAAATGAATTGCTGTTCATTAGTCTCGTTAAAGCTCGAGAACGGCTGAACCGATTTGGCTAATATTGGTCTTGAATTATTTGTGGAAGTCCAGAGAAAGTTTAAAAGGTAGATAAATATTTATTATTTATTTATTTATTTATGTACACACAGAAAAGAAGACATAGTACAGAGTATAGTATAGTAAAGAAAATATGAAAATGCACGGAAATAAATAAAAATAACAAATTTGTTTTTCCTTTGATGTGTCCCCCGTCGGACGGATTTCTTTTGTTTGTTTTAAGTTAATTTAATACAAAAGTTTAGGTCTTTTATTTATCGATTGAGGCACTACGAAGTTTGCCGGGTCAGCGAGTTTAATTTAAAAATCTTAAGAATTAGAAAAAGAATACAAGCTTATGATATAAACTGGTTTTTTTCCTAATCTGATTTAGGAAAACTAATATAATGAGTTTCAGTTGGAGTCATTTAATCACAAAACCCTATTGATTAACATTTTTAATAATCATATCCAATCATTAAGGTTTTATTATTAACATGCTAAACAAAAGTGAAAAGTTTTTTTTGTTAACTAATAATGGAATTATGTAATAATAAATAGAATCTTTCAATAAATTATATTATTGATTGTACTAGTGTCAGTAAAGCGCTGTTTGTTTGTTTGTTTGTTATACGCGTTCATTGTTTCAACAATGCTATATTTTCTACAGAGTATCTATCTGCCTATGTAATGAAATCTTTCAAAGTAATTGTCACGAATTACACGAGGTACTTGTAGACGTTCTTAACTTGAACATTTGCAAACCAAGGACCACATAAATTTTTATAATTGCCTAAAATATGGCTCTCTCCTGCAGACTTTCCACAGGTTGTAAATACTCGTGGCCTAATGGATAAGACGTCAGGTGCATTCGTATCTTGCGATGCACCGGTGTTCAAATCCAGCGGGCAGGTACCAATTTTTCTAATGAAATACGTACTTGACAAAAGTTCACGATTGACTTCTACGGTGAAGGAATAACATCGTGTAATAAAAAGTAAACTGGCAAAAAGTATAATTTGCGTAATTACCGGTGGTACAGTGTCTTTTAAGCCCGCGCGGCTATGTACTACCACCCTACCGATTTCTGCCGTGAAGCAATAATGCGTTTCGGTTGGGTTCGGTTAGGTTCGGTGGGGTTTGGGTTTAGTACGTGTGTGGGCAGCCGTTTTACTGTACTGTAAAAAAATTTAGATTGTAGGACTCATGTCTCAGGGTAGGCAGGTTAACATTGTTGATGCCTATGGGCTCCGGTAACCGATTAATAGCTGGTGGGTCGTGGGCTCTTTCACATATCTAAGCAGACAGACGGAGGGTCGTCGTATCCCTTTGCGGGGGCACAGAGCGGGCCTCGGGGAAACCCCTCTGCCCGGGCTGAATCTCCCTACCTAATGAGGCAGGGGTGATGCACTGCTGGCTGGTCTTGAGGTAGTGGTGGGTAGGACTTCCTTATTTATCTTCTCCTCTTCCGTCTACTCTGCTTCTCTTCTTCTTTCTTCGTCTTCGTTCTTGGGGGCGGTCGCTGCTCTCCTCCATGTTTTTTTTTTTTTTTTTTTTTTTTTTTTTTTTTTTTTTTTTTTTTTTTTTTTTTTTNCTTGCCCACGTGCGACAGCAAGGTAATCGGTCGGTAACTGGAGGGCTTTCTCCTGTCCTTGCCGGGTTTGGGCAAGACGATAATCTTGCCCAATTTCCAAGTTCCAGGGAAGTGTCCTACCCGGAGAATGGAATTAAACAATCGTGTCATTGCTGACACGATTGAGGGTGGGAGGTTTTGCAGGGCGAGGGGAGGAATACCGTCCTCGCTGGGGGCTTTGCGCCTCTTCATCAACTTGATGAGGAGGCGCACCTCGCTGGGAGTGACTAGATCGTCATCTCCCAGCTCGACTCCCGGCGATTCCGGTTTGAGGAGTTGGATTACACCCTCTGTCACCTCCCGATGGAATGCAACCATCGAGGGCGCAGAGACATTCGAACTGAACTGCCCCTCCAGCGAGTTGGCCAGGATTTCGGCACGAGCCACCGGTGTAAAACACCGTCTTCCCGCCTCATCCTCCAGGGGACAAGTGGGGGAAGGCTTGTGGGTGAACCGGCGACAGATGCGGTGAAGGGGGGCCATCGTACGGTCGTCGGACGCGTCCAACAGTCCCCCCTCCCAGGAGTCACCCCGGAAAGTCCGCATCTTAGTCGCCAGCTCATCCTCAAGTCGGTTTAGCTCGCGCTTGATCCTGGGACACCTAGATGTCGCCCAGAGCCTCCTCAGTGCCCTCTTCCGACGAATTAACGTCTTGAGGTGCACCGGGAGTTCCACTCTGGACCCCCCGCTGGGTACCAGAGTCGTCGCTTGGTCCAGGGCTCCCCTGATGGTGTCGACGAGACGGGAAGCCGCCGTGTCGACCTCATCTTGTTTTATTGCTTAGATATAGAAATATATCTAAGCAATAAAACAAGTTAGTGCTTATGTAATTTAATTATCCCCTTCTCTATGTACAAACATTGTGGGAAATAAGGTGCCATTCAACATTCGACAGTTGGTCATAATAATAAGACTTATCGCTAGATCAATTGTATTTTATCACAAGGTTAGTTCGTGGTGCATACTATTTTTTGTAGTATTAGAAATATATAATATTAATATGTGAATATGTGTAAATGGTTTTTGTAAATTTATTTAGTGTTTAAATTTAAATTTGATTGCGTTATTCTTATTTCTAATCTTACAACCTTTTATTTTCTTAACTAATTAATTTTCGGTTCATAATCCCATAAATGAGATTGCTTTGATCTGTAATAGGTAGTCATAGGTATTGGACTTTGAGCTTTCGTTGTATTGTTAATGAGTAATAAATTTTTGTAAATAGAAGAGTTGCAATTTCATTTGCCTTTTTCATTACAAATTATTAGTTGTAACAGTTAACACGAGCGAAGCTACATGCTTTCTAAAAATCTAAAATATTCGAAACATTGGTATTGTAATTGATGCACCCAATCGTATTGATGTGGCATTTGCATTTCTCTACACGTTATGTATTTAATAGCTTTCCTTATAACACTCCAGTATGAATTTTTTTACGGTGGAGTACTTATCAAAGGACGAAATTCAATTAAGCAAGCTAGATTTTGCATGTAAAGTGAGAAATTAGTTGGAAGTTTGTTATAGAGGCGTTTCGGTTCACAGGAATGTTTGAAGGTAATAGCAATGGTTTCCAAATGGAAAAAGATACATGCGTATACGTTATTGTCTGTTCATTGGCATCTATTAGGCCAGACTCCGGTTCGCCCGCATGATAAAGAGTAGTTTTAGCAATATAATAATCTTAAATAGCCTAATATAAAAATCGAGATACTCCTGATACATGTTTTTAAGTTATTGCATAGCTTTTAGCGCAGCGACCGAATTAAGACATTTCGTAACGAAAATAAAACCTAACACCCCCCAGTCCGCCTACCATGTACCTCGCGTTCCAGACATTCACACGTTGCGCTTGTATAGTGTTTGTGAATAAGCGCGCCGCGTGTCATCGCACTGCATGCGCATCATGAAATGTCTGCCCATCTCTCTCTCGCGTAGTCTAGCTTATGAATGTGAAGGGGACAGTTAATATTTTGCTTTTGTTAATGTTTATAAATATAGCGTCGTCTTATTTTATTATTGTTTTAATATTAAATTATTATTGTCTAATTATAAATGCATAAGTTGATAAAAAATTCTATGCAATAACTTTACCGCGGCAGTCCCCGAGTGCCACACGTGTTTTTTATGGATCCTGCCACTACCAACATTATTCCTATTTCTATTATCATAGCATGAAGATAGCTTAGTTTTAAAGGGTATTTGAATTGGTAATCTCTTTAATTGGGTAAGTGAAGATGCTGAAGTGTTAGGTCAGTTAAATTCACA